TGGTTCTCTCAAAGTTAACGTCCAAAGATTCGGACCTCCGTTTTAATGCATCGAAGACAATTTTAGAAAATTATGGGAGAAAATTTGAGAAAATCGAAAAAACGATCACAGCCTGCAAATCTACAGCTCAGGGGCTTTCATTTAAAAAAAATCCCATGCAAATCGGTCCGGTGGTTCTCTCAAAGTTAATGCCCCAAGATTCGGGACTTTGCATTTTAATATATAGGATTCTACAGTGCCCCAGCGTTTTTCAGAAAATCTATTCACCTTTTGCGAAATTTTTAGGGTAAATTTTTCACTTTTTCTTACGAAACAAGGGTTGAATGTGAATTCGTAGTAGTTTTTCACGGGTAACACGGGCCCCGGTACCAGGGACCCAGTATCCCCCCCTTGTGGCGGGCCTGCCTTCATGCACGCTAAGCTTGTCGATTTCCTCTAAAATTTTTGCAGTGGTGAATGCATAGCTGAAGTGCGCTTCAGCTAGAATTGTATTTAGGAAATGGGTGGTTTTTATAGGAGGATTATAATTAAACAAGTGGTTAGAAATGGAAACAAAAGAATATGAACTATGCAAAACGAGTATTCCTATAACGGAACTTGGCTGTTTTCAAAACGCCTTCAAATGCGGCGTGATACCTCCCGCATTCCGGAGAGTTCAAATAGTTGTTTCATTGCGCCTTAGAAATGCGACGGAAGATTGCAGTTGAAATAGCCTTCATGCACGCTGGGCGTGTCAATTTCCTTTGACATTTTTGCAGTGGAGAATGCATAGCTGAAGTGCGCTTCAGCTAGAATTGTTTTTACAAATGGGTGGTTTTTCTGTGGTGGCTGTGGTTCTGTGGTGACAAATGGGTGGTTACAAATCAGTACGCACAACATAATCGTAACAACAATTGCTGCCTAGCAGAAGGCGAATTGTTCAGTTAAATAGAAAAAAGAGCATGATAGGCAGTTTGCATGTAACGAGAAGGTATGTATTCGATCGACATGAATCGGACGAAAAATAAAAACGTGAACCGATCAACACCGATTCAATGGACAAACAAATGAAACAGCGGATCAAAATCAGTAGATAACTTACATCCACTGTGAAAAGTTCAAATTGCGACAACTCGAAATTGGGATCAGCCCAAATTTTGAATTTTCGCGATTTTACCTGAGTCCACACGTATTATAAACGCACATGCACCCTGCAAATTGTTTTTCTCGCCCGATTCTCTGAACTCTTGGCAAGGTATAATCTCCGATTATGATTTTACATTGAGTGTCTGTTAAATTCTAACTAAGACTACATTTTTACTTCTAAACTTTCCATGAGAGTGGAGGATATCACGCAAACCATGTTTACCACGTTATTGTTATGAAACATACTTACAAAAAATGGAATTTTCAAGTTTTCACCATTCAGTTGAGGGATTAAAGTTCTCAAGGGTTTAGAACCGGGATTTAAATGATGTTAAAAACAATTATCACGTAGCGCAGCTTGTTTTCCGTCCTGCGCCAAATTTCAGTTTTCTAATCTTATTTTCATGGGCGGAACTAGGTTGCCTTTCTGATACGTATTACCACCCATTCTTACTTTTTTTCATATTTTTTTTTCTTTTTTTTTTAAAAAAAAGAATAAGGATATTAAAATGTGTCCTATCATGCTTTGATGATTTTCCCTTTCCCTCTGAGAAAATTTATGGATGTTTCATTTATACGTAACATTTTGGTTCGTTTTATGGTGTGAAAGAAGAAAATTAAAGCCCCCCCCCCCCCCCTAGTTACCAGCATTGCATTTATTGATTTTTGGAGGATTTACAAGTTAGTTTCAGTCATAAGTTGATTTCGTCTTACTCCGATCTCCACATCCTTTGGGTGACTATTGGTACTCTAAGAAAGAAAGAAAAAAATAAATGAATATATTTGGAAAACGTTAAAGGAAGAAAAAAAATTTATTGAGAATAATTTAATAAAAGTATCGAAAGTACTACGCTAAAATGCGTCACGCGTCACGCCAGTCGGCGCGCAGCGGAGTGCCGAGCTCCGAATCTGAGCTTTACAGACTTTGCTGCTGTTTAGCGGCGAATAAGATAACTACAACTTCAGTATCATGAGCTAGAGTGCGCTCGCGGCGAGTTCATTGAATGGAATGTTTTCATTTCCAATTTCTATTGTTAGTCGAAGTGCGGGGCACGGGGAAGCTGTGCTGCGATACCTGTCTGTCGTGTCGCATATGTTGCGTTATTTATTTTTTTACACCAAAAACACATGTTTACTGCAATCAAAAGATGTGTTTTCTCGCGTAGTGTTCTGAAATTCTCTAGCAACAAATTAAATTTCTATGATGACGTTAGATAGTAGCTGATAGTGTGTTTTTCAGTGAATTTAATGCGGATACACATGTATAAAATGTTTCTGTTAACAATGGCTGTCTTACTTGTTCACCTGGATAATTTTTGTATCTCTACACCTTTACAACCTTTGAAGCCAGGTAAGCCCTTTCTCAAGAGTTGATTTATTTGTATGCATTTCTCTCACTGAAACGTTTAATGTCTGACGTAGTTTCCTCAGCGAAAGTATTACAATCCTGTGTTTAAAATCTTGGACAAAGTCTTTGTTGACAGATGAATATTGTAGGTTATATTGACATCAAATCTTTGCATCTTTTGCTGCGATATGAGTGTGTGTTTCTTTCGCTAAGGACACTAAGACAGTGTTGTTCTCGGCATCAGAGGAAGAATGATTGTTTATGAATATTTATGACAGTAGCTCTCTAGAGTTTGGCTGTTAATAATCGATGTCAAACACCGTAGTGGATTAAAAATTGCGATTCATCCTGAAGCGAGAAACGCTGCAAATACTACATCGACTGCTAATGATATGCCACAAGATTATCAGTGATTGTGTAGTAGCCTAGGTAACTACCACGGCAAACAGCATTTCAGTAGTTATTTCCGGTTCTGGAAAGGGAAATTATGAAATATATCAGTTGTAATGAAATTTATCAGGATAGGTTAATCATTGCTGGGGCGCCATTTATGGGGAGGCAGGCCAGGCATTTGCGCTGGCCCTGTGCTTCTGGGTTGCGTCAGGAAAACTGCTCGTCTGCCATTTCCGAGGTGAGAAGCTGAGCCAAAAAAAATATGTAACTTTTTTGCCTGGCCCTGCAATAAACTGAAATGGCGCGCCCCTGCATTGTCGTAAATATTATTGCAACCATCATGCAACAGCTAGTACTCTGGTAGTCAGTCACCAGAAGATGTCACTCTCTTTCCCTTCACTGAGTCTGGTAATTTCAGGCATAACTTCATGTTAGGCACTGTACGAATTGGATTAAACGTACGTTCCAAATTCCACATAATTACTTTTATAACTTCAATTTTTGGGACGTCATAGTTCTTAAAGGTAGATCGATGGTGAAACGGAGAAAAGGTAACTCGATCATGGTGCTGCGAAAGTTCCTTTCGCCGTTTCTACCCCGTACTTTTTCATAGTAGCTCCAGGCTTCCTGTACAAATTTTTAGAGAATATTATTGAACAAGCCAGAAAAAATCTTGTAAAATTTTACACACTAAAATTGTTAGTGATTCTCTAAAGAAGTAAAATATGAAAGGAAATCCGGTGCGGTTGAAACCATGAGAAATGGTTTTGTAGATACCCAAGCAAATTCATAAGTGAAGACTCCACATGCTTACCTGTGCATTTGAATAAATTATCTGACCTACATATAAGGAAAATTACATATAACTTAAGGCAGAGAGAGATCCATAATTTTGATCACATTACAATGGTGTAAGCTAGAAACTACCTATGTTACTTACTTGAACTGTAGCACCATAGATTTCTCATTTTAATTCATTTTTCAAATGAGAATTAAGTAATGGAGATCATTCAACAGAATTTCAACTGATTTTGCTTCATTATGTATGTCTGCACATTTTTCTGTGCCAACCTTATACCAATGAAGCACTCTACTAACAGAGTATCTGTATAGGACGGGTAATACCAGTTAGTGACACGAGGCCAGAGTATCTAAGGCCATTAATGGAATCAATCATTCTTAAAAAGACTCAAGTGCCAGAAATGAAACCACGAGTAAAACATTAAAAATTTTATTTATCGACACATTTTAAATCGTGTTTTATGTATTTATGTGATTACCTGAAAATTTATCTGGTTAATACCTCAGAACTCTGAAATTCAAAACGGGTCGATCATGAAACGTTTTTAACTGTTTTTTTCGTATACATTTCCTGGCGTTTAAGTCTTTTTTAGAATGATCTCGACCTACGAATACTACACTTACAAGAGTTGGTTGTGGCGCCTAGGTGCAACTATTTGTGTTTCACGGCTGTGCGTGTTGCATGTTCAAAATTGAAGGCGCTTTCGCTTTTCTCACCTGAAGAATGCATGGGAGTTGTCGTCAAGTTGTAGCACCCGAATAACAGAAATTCCTCGTAGAGAGACCAGGCGTTCCATTTCAATCCTTTAATTACCAAAAAAGCGCCACTCTGATTGATCAACGAATTTCAGGCTTTCATAGATTTTCTGATTTCCAACTTTTGAAATAATTTGTAAACAAAATTTGATTGATATTTCGGCCGCGAATCCTCCTTTTTCTGTTAGGTACCTAATTAATTCATCTCACCCTCGCTAAAACGGGTTTCTATTGATGGGTTTTGTTTACTCGGATATCGGGCTTGTGAAGAAAACGCGTTAATTTTTACGAACAACTCCTGAAAGAAATTGAAAAAAAAAAAAAAATAATTATCAACTTTATTTACGTCACCTGTAAATTTTACATATTTTATTAGTTTCTATTCTGTTACTTTAAATTTCATTGAAAATCTCGCGAAGTATTCGTTAGAAATCGGCCAGTTGGGACATTCGTCGGTTAGCGTATGAATTGCAGCTAAAATTAACGGTCGGCCCGATTTCAGACTTTAGACCGGTCATACCGCGAGCTGGCTGCCCAGTTTGCGGATTAGGCAATGGGAATGGCCAGTTGGACTATTTATGCTAAAAGGAACTATGTTGAACGCAAACCCTTTGCACATAGTTCCTTTTAGAATAAATAGGTACGTCCAGTTTTCGAACTGGGCAACGAGCTCGCAAACAAGGGAGAAAACAGCTCACTCCGCGAGCTGGACAATTTTGCAACGGGAGGTAACAATTTCAATGGAATCAGAAAGGTGCGGAAATTTTAACTTGAATCGACACCAAGATATCCAAAATTAATATGGGTAAAATCGACTGTAGTTTCTCATGAAATAATTTCAAAATTTTAACGTAAATCTCGGCTTTTGATGTGAGGACACCACCACCNATCTCCCTATGTAAATACATCGATTCTTGGAGGGGCCAGGTGCTCTGTTAAGAATCGATTATTTAACATAGGTTTAAACGGAGGGAATCCGGCGTTGCCAAATTGCTAGATCCGCTTCTGATCGAGGAACGACTATGAAGAATGAACAGACACGCCCCTTAGTCGATTCTCGATTCGCCGGATAATTCGGCAACAGTGCTCCAGGTATTAGCCGCGGTTACCTGCCGATGACACGATGATGCTGATGTGATGACCGCGGTCATACGCGTCTGTGTGAGTGTGTGTGAGTCATCGCTTACATTCTTCTCCGCCCCCCGCGGCCGTGGTGGTCACCCACAGTCGCCGGAGTGGGCTCCCCCCAGTGAATAACCCCAGTCGTCATTCATGCTGAAGTTGGATTTTACGTCAAATCTGACAACGCTGCTTACGGCTCGTCGGCCGTATGGAACAAAGTAAGGATGTGAGGATCTTAGAAGGCAGTAGTGGTTCCATCAGCCTGAAACTTCACTGAAGAAGATGGTAGCGCGATTTTTTAGCGTGCCTTGCATATTCATATCGATGCCCGAAGATCGAAACCACGTATCTGACAGGAAAAAAAAAAACATATTGGATGTAGAGTAGACTCTTAAAAAACATCGACAAGAAAAAGGACTCTTGATTCAGTCAGATTTAAGCTTAAATCAAGAACCAAGCCTCTTAATTTGAGCGGATTTCCTTTTGATTTAAGCTTAAATCTGATTGAATCAAGAGTCCTTTTTCTTGTCGATGTTTTCAAGAGTCTGGACTCTAGATTCAATGTGTTTTTTTCCCTGTTCCACCGCGGTGTTTCAAAATTTCCGCTCCTATTTTATTTTTTCGAAGAGAAAGGAGGCCGCTTAATAGCCTGTTCGCAAGTTCGAGAAATCGGGGATTATTTGGACTGCATTTTGCAATTTGGAATTATAAATTCTGGCCCGGTTTAAAAACAACGTATTTGTCATTAGTTTCCCTATGCACATACGTGTTTTTTTCAGGTGAGCCAGAATTTATAGTTCCAAATTGCTAGATGCAGTCCATTTACGAGGCGATTTTTGGATCTTGCAACATCCCTATTTCCTGTCAGTCTTGAATTGGGCAAAAAAAACGAAGCCTCATTTCCGGCCGAAACTCGACGGAATTTGCGTGAATTCTTTTTTCTGACGAAGAGGGGAAAGCGATGGAAACTCCCGGATCATTGCCCAGAACTTTCTTCCGCGCGGATTCTGGTGCCGAAAGCGGATGTTTCCGGTCGCGGCGCCCGTTACTTCCGATTTCCGGTTCCATCATCGGGACTGTATCAAACGCCCCGGGTCTCATTCCCGAAAACAATCGCAACGAAACCAGCTCGAATCGGATACCAGATCCGTCGGGTGAATGCGCTAAGCCGGCAGCGGAACAAAACAGAGCTGATCGATCGATTCGTGCGTGTGGGCGATTAGAAATGGAGATTGTGAGGAATTTGCGATTTGACTGTTGAATCTTATGTAAAAGTTCGCGTGAAACACGATGGTGCCACTGGTTTTCTCTAAAATCAACTTCCAAGCTCAAAAAAAGCTCTCAAGTTGAGGCCTAAATGGAGGGGATATCCCACGCTACCCTGAGAGTCCACCTCTACATCAAGACCAACACTCCATGCGAAGATAGGGAACAAATACATTGATAGGGCTGCCGCCTTATTTGGGGACTCTAAAACTGGAAACACGGCAGCCCTGCTAATGTATTTGCTCCCTATCTTTGCATGGAGAGTTTGTCTCGATGTAGAGGTGGACTCTCAGGATAGCGTGGGATATCCGCTCCATTTGGCCTCAACTTGAGAGCTTTTTTTAAGCTCGGGAGTTGATTTCAGAGAAAACCAGTGGCAACATCGTGTTTGTCGCGAACTTTTACACATGAATGGACAGTCAAATCGCAAATTCCTCACACATGTAACATCTCTATTAGATGTATACAAATTATTTAAAACAGCGCGGTCATCCGGTCGTTTTCCTCCATTTTCTCCGGTAACTTCTTCACCTCCTCCGACGAGACGCGTGCGGAACACCAAGTAAAGACGAACGAAACAACTTACTCGTTGCCGACGAAGCGCGGATTAGGAGCGAAGTTCCTCTTTGCAAGTCGCGAAGTGACGTTCCCGCGCGGAGCACGAA